TGGTGTCAGTGCGGTTTGTTGGAGCTCGTCGAAAGCGCGATAATGGTAAGAGTAAAACTGAACTTTGGAAGTTGCAAAGTTGCTGTCCCTAATAAGGGATTTTCTCTGAAAAATGACTGTCGCCATTGTTTGGTGCTGTGTGGTAGAGATTGACGGTACACTTGATTGTGACCGATTGGGTAGAAAAGTGTCTTATCCTGTAAGACTAAGATTATTCTCTGCCTAGTTCTTGTAATGACCAAGGATAATTAAGGAGTTAAGTAGCTAATAAATAAATGGACCTTGTTAGTTCTGGCAGGTGTGCCAAGCTTTTGCAACCATGTATCGATAGTACTCGAGTGCGCAGAATTGATTGGTAGCTGAACTTGTCCTGCTGCCTGCAACGCCGGTGTTTCGTGAAGTTGGTTCTTGTCCATGATCCAATGGTCACATTTAGCGTATGTGAATCTACCGGGAAAACGAATGACGGTAAAGGCGTAAGAAGAAAATACTGTCGGTAAGATAATCGACGTTTTGACTTCTCCATTTTGTAAGTTGTTGAATTCAACAATCGATGCGTATTTGAACAATTAGCTTCGAACCTTTAAGGTTGTGTGGTTGTTTAATCCATACAGCGTTCATCTAATCAGCAAGTCACATGACTAAAATACGATTTGAATACTTCTATTACACTGCTGCGTCATTAGTTAATGTCGGTTATTATCCATCACCAATGTTCCCACCACACGGACTCGGAGGTAGTTATTTTAAACCTCAGCACTGTGGCCCAAATTCTCCTGGAGCAGAGCCTGAACCGCCACAACCACCCCCTTCCTGGGAGGTTATTGTAATTTTACGAAGGAAGGAAAGATTTCATCAATAATAATCATAATGAAAAGTAACGTGTAAAGTTACATATTGGAATTCAAGTTTTGAGAAAATATTTCTGTGACTAATTAGACGCAGAAGAACTTCTCGGGTGATCTGAGATCCATTGTTTGACGTTATTTCATAAATTGCTTCGTCACAAGCGAAAAATCACTTTGTAAAGGACTATTTGGACTACGGTGATTAGGTCTCGGACGCAAAGTCAACAATGATCGATGAAAGCACTCTATTAACAGTCCAATAAAGAAATATTTTTGGTTAAATACGATAGATTTTACCAAATCTCCTGCTACCCCCGTATAACTGATGCTATAATATCTGTTCATTTTAGAAAGCTTAAGGCTCCGCAACCCTTGCGTTACATTACACTACGTTTTAGAACAATCTGAAACACGTAGCAATACGAGTTCCTTTGTAGTGCTCTCAAGGAACTCGTTGCTTATTCCATATAACCCATTTTTGGATAGCCTACCATTGACAGATATCTGAAGCGAGTGACTTGCATTGAGGGGTAGAATCTGAATCAGATTGTGCATATTTTCCGGCAGGGTCTGTTTGATTAGATCAGCTTGATAATTTGAGTGAATGGGCTCACGTGCCATAAATGTTTAACGATATCCGTCTGCTGTCGACTACACAACGTGTAAAACGCAATCTAAAACATACGCAACACATGAATACTATCTACATTCCTTACGCAATATTTAATCTGTATATAACTAATTTTACTGTATCGTAATCAATGCCCACATTTTAGCTTATACCAATAACATAGTCAAAGAGACTTGGTCAATGTTACCAAAATTTCCGATTTATTTTTTTATTTATTATGGAAATATTACTAAAATATGTTTTCACACTTATTAATCACTGCTGTGGGATACTTGTAAAACGTATTTTGGAGTTTTACAGAAGTTTGTAGTATTAGTTTTAAATTTAAAACTATTTTTTGACGAACGGTTGCCTATGACAACGTAATAACCGGCAATAAACAGTGTATGGCAAAAGAACTGTGTACCAGTTCGTTCCTTTTGTACTCAAATAGTCCCACTCTTACACATCCTAGTGCATGTTGCTCCAGTCGGTCAAAATTTGAAGTTGGGTGTGGTCACTATTTTCTTTCGAAGTATAATAATTAAAATGTTTCAATTCTCATTAAGATAAACAAAATTTTTCAATAAGGATGGGAGAATATTCACAGACATTGGGCACTTGAACTGCAAGTTCCCCAATGAGATTCGCACGGCTGCGTGCACGTGATTCTCAAGGTCTTTTTTACTGTACGTGAAAAAATCTTTCGTCCTACAACGCTCTTTCTCTTCTCAGTGGTTTCTAATATACATGGTTGACTACCACTCAAGATGGTCCGAAGAAAAGAGGAAAAATTACACTGCCCGTTTGTTGTTCTATCAATCTGCGGGAGAAGAATACCAAGCGACGTCATAGGCTGCCACTTACAACACCTAAACATCATAACTGATACCGGTTTTCATGATCGGATGTTTTTACCACCGAATAAAAACGGAGCTTTCCATTCCTCAAGTTCTACCCTCGACGACCAACAAGTTCTTGATCCCGGTTGACTGTACAACTGTCCTCTCCCTCCAAATAAACAAACATAACCTTCGAGCGAACATTCTTTATCTCCAAACAGATAGATATTGCCACCTGATGCAGTGGTAAAGATAATTTGTAGAATATATTGGGAAAGATGTCAAGTATTGCAATTCGGCAGACATGTGTGATTGCATCCCCGATTTTAAGTACTGAACAGTTCACGCTACCAATCCACTTGCCAATGCGTTGGCTTGTTACTGCTATTAATAATATGCTTTGTTTGCAAGTATAGGTTCGTGCAATACCATTGACCGACGCAAATGTCAGTTTATTTTACTTCAGCCATTGAGGAGATAAAACGAAATGTGATCACATGGGGATATTTATATTCTTTTGGTTGGTCAAGAGCAAAATCGTGTCTAGTGAGTGGATGTCTTTTTGTCTGGATCAAATTTCGGGTGCACATGTCTGATTTAAATTAAATTCGGTCGTTTAAGACTGAAACGATACAATAAGAGAGTGTAGTCCAGTTGGTCCATTATCGTTCGATCGTTTCATTTTGTGGCAACAGTACGGAGCAAATGAGACAGCAGTGCAGTAAAACAAAATCAAGCCTCATTGTCATATCACACCTCCGTTGCTTGACTACCTCGAACTCAGTAACATCTCAGACAAATCTGGCGACATATGAAGAAAATGATGGAAAAAAGAAGTGAGTACGTGGAAAGCGGTTAGAAGCTATTTTGAGTAGATCAGGCTTTGAGTATGATTGTGAGTGTGTTGGACGAACTTAAGAAGGAACGTCGAAATCGGTATGCCGGATAAATCTCGGGACACCAACTGGAATGTATTTGGAATGTGATCTGCAATCGAGTGAAACTTTTACCGCACATCATATGACAGACCGTTGCAGCCTTACACCACATGCACGTACACATGTTACGCGGACTTACTCTGTTATAAGGTCGATCAGCCTCAGTAAATCAGAGGTCCGAATTGACCTGACCGCATTGATTGGTTCGTTGACAGCCTAGCGTGACGAAATTCTCCTTCTGACAACGCTTGCACCAGTTTGGCCTGCCTGCCTACGTGCTGACGCACTGCTTGCTCACCGGACCGACTACGTTTACATTTACCTATTGGAAAGAGAATAACTGCTTAATTCACTGCTTGCGTATTTATTTTCTTCTACGGGATACAGCAGCATTGTATGTTATTTCAGTCAACCACCTATTTAGTAGTTCAACGGGTAATTCACCCTCATTCAATTTTTACTTGTTGGGTTCAACCACAAATGATGGGACAGCAATAGGACTGACTGTTCGTGAATTTGCAGTCTGATTTTGAATACTTTCGTACAATTTACCATAACATGTAAGCATGCAGTGCATTATAATACTGTACAATAGCTTAATACGCGATGCCGGTGGTTTCTAAGAAAAAAGGCTATAACGGTTACTGGGTAAAGATTTTCACTCTTATGACATATGAGAGAAAAGTACCTGGATGTCTACTAAGAGACGTATGTCACATGTGGGATACGTATGAGCTATATGTATTAGGTAACAAAGTAATCAATGGGATGATTTTAGACTGTCGTTCTATAGAGTTCTAACTGAACCCTATTTGCTTCCTATCCGAGTTCCATTGGAGTCCCACTTTAGTCCCGACATTGAGAATCCCGTTGATTCACTCTAGGTTTTAAACAGGCTCCGATGGGACTCATATAGGTCTCCCTTGGGACTGAAACGTCTCTCTTACTTCTCTTTATTGAACATGTCATGATACATTTTCAGGAAACGGCAAGTGCACAAACAAATAGCTGTTATAAAACTAGAATGGGACGAGTGTGCTCGGTGGATATTGTGTCACTTATAACATTTACCTATTCTACTAAATAACTTCCATCCTTTATTTCCCTGTTTATATATGCGTCATCCTGCCGGCTGAAAACTCATTAGACTTGAGTTTAATCTCCATTAAGATTCACCAAAGAAATATATTCACGGACCCATTCGATTTTTGAACTCCAGAGGTGTGGACTTGAATCAATGATTAACCCTCATTAAGGAAACTTTTATCTGGGTGTTTTCCGTAGGTATTTTTAACTGGATCGATTGGGAACAATGCATGAAGATGAATTTTGAGGGACAGTCATTTCGAAATGTCACTTTTCCAACACAACTGCTTATAGGTTATTGCGAGTCAAATGGCAAAACATCAGCTTGTGTCCTTCAATGAACGCGAATCAACGAAAAGGTTTCATCATACTCCATCTTCGCTTTTAGGCGAATAAAGATGCAGGTTTTCGGATGTTTAAATTCACAAGTGATTTGAATTGCTAAATCAGATTATGTGAGGACGAAAACCGAGTTCAAGTGAATCCTTAAACCTAATTTTACTATCAGTTAGAAATTTATAATATCCTGCCCGTTTGTTGGCCCAAGGTTCCGATATGGATATGAATTTAACCTCATTTGTAACTAGGTAGCTGAAATCCCCGATTACATAGGTGTGAATGATTCACTATTCTCATCAACTCAATCCTCTACCCCACCTCACTTATTTCTCACAAGATCCCCAAACTGGAAGGCCGATTTCCTCAAGTTTCACGGATCACCTTTTCTTATCGAGCAGATCGACCGAAAGGGGAGAGAGTAAACCGAGATTCGATCAAGATTGAGGATAAGCCCTTGGTTCTTGAACGCCATTATCGATTGGCTTGCACTCCTTTCATGGCTGAGTGAGTTCCCGTTGCAGTTTCTCAATATAACCTCATGAATCTGGACTCACTCGAAACTCCGTGCTTGTAAATGTGTTGAAAGAGGAAGCACTTTCAAATAAATTTTGTGAGCATCAATATCAATCGATTCCCGTATTCAATAGTAATGACCATATTTCGGAATAAGACGTGTCGCGGAAAAAATAACGCGTGCTAATTACTCACTGTAATAACGAGAAACAAGAGTCTAAGGGAAATTCGAAGGATGCAAGTAAAAGTAAATACAAAGTCTTCATTTTCCATGCCCCCTGAAATGCGCCCGGTAGATAGAAAAGGTTCAGATTTTGAGCTACAGAAGATGGCGTTATCTTCGAGCATAGGAAAGCAAATTAAAGCTGAAATCATATGATTCACAAACCTATGACGCTGATCTGCAGGACTCAGCCAAGTAAGTGAAGAAAACTTTGTACACATACACACTCATTTCATACCCCGAATGGAGTTTCAATTAGTTACCCTGACACCCGACTTTCCATTTCCCACGTTATACTACTGGTTAGTAATATATCAACGTTCGCAGATTTTTGTGTTCACTGTTAATTAGGCTTATGAGCTGAATCCGCTTCAAATCCCCACTCCTAACAAAGAAATTACTTTCTTAGGAATTATCTGTTACACAGATTCAATTAGGAATGAGTGTCACAGAAAATTCCTCCCGATATTGTACAATCAGTGCTTCACTTGGAACGCAAATATCTTTTGTTTCAGTATAATTGTGGTAGCCTGACGTTTGTCGAAACTGCTCCCACAAAATGTCCGAACATGTAACACGTTCCGGTTAGCAATTTATCTTTAATCCTGCCTTTTTGCATATTTACCACACAGAGATTAGTGAAAGTATGTTGTTTGCTTGCGACCGATTGAAACTGTATTGAATCTGCAAAAAATACGTCATATTAACAACACAGACACTGAAGTCCAATACGACTGACAGCAGTTAATAGAGGTTGATGTATATATGTTTTTGTTTGACCTTACTTTTAAAATATATGGGTTTTGACATTAAATCCCGATCTTTTAGTAACTTTCTGGTAACATAGCTACAGGATTAAGCCCAAAGTAAGTATTTGATTTATGACAAAATGATTCAGTAACATTGTTTCTCATGAAATTTGTTTTCATCATCCCTAATAATATTTCGCTATCTTCATTTTCAGGGGTAAGGATGGATACGATATACTTGCAAAGAAGAGACGCTTGGTTGATGATGAGGCTGGTATTCCACTGAGCACTGCAGTTATCAACTATTTCCGTACAATCAGCGTTCTGAATGGATTCACTCAATCTAAATCCAGTCACCGTCCGGGTCTGCTTAGCATGAAGCAACGGAACCGTGTTACCCAGGCACTACTTGCCTCAGTAGAAAAGTTCGCAAAACAAATGACATCTGACGAAACAGCAAATGCTTCGGAAAGAGCGGCCGCGAGATGGGCAGAAAGAACGCAAGCGCAATTGGCATCCAAATTGAAGGAGAAAATTCTTGCTAGTGTTGGTGAATTGATTCCTGAGACAAATATACACTCAACAAAAGAGAAGCTCGGATGGAGCAAAATAAGAGAAACGATGTTGGAGAAAGAAAAAGAACGATGTCGTGTAGCTCCCAGGATTGAAGGACGCATCGTTCGTCTCGATGCGGAAAATAAAACGGTCGACTGAACGTATATAAAATTCAGAAGTTGACACTGAGTGCGATTTTACGAAAAACCTTTCACTCCACCTTACCCCATTCACGAGCGTCAAATTCTCGCATGTTCTGGACCAACAATCAATGCACAATTTACTATTTTCCCAAACCAATAAACTGTTAAAGAAATGCATTTGGAGAATAATTTTTGGCCTAAGCATTTGGATAAAAATCAATCAGCCGTAAATGAGTCAATTCATTTCTAAAGTTTGCATTTTATATATTCAGTACGTACAAAACTTATAATATCAACATCAAGGAGGTAGAGCCCCGCTATCTCCATCAGCTTTCAAGAACTACAACAGCTGGGAAAAAATCAGTCGACCCAAGCAGCCGTTACTGCTTTTCAATAACTAATTTGAATTTAGGATACTTAGAACATTCATGTAAGCAATGCTTCGTAGAACAAGAAGCCACGTTTTACACAACCTTAGACAAAGCTGCATGGCTAATTAAATTACACGCATAAATCCGACATGAGGAGGTAGGTCTAAAGTATGGTACGCGGGAAAATAACATTTCAGTATTCACTTGTGGTTTTCCTGAGCAGTCGCCTTTGTTACACGTTCCTATCAAAGGTCGTTAAGGTAGCGTGAGTTACAGGAGGTCGTACGAGGGTCAAATTGCATATATTCAACCAAACCACATATGTTAAGAAGCTGGAATGAATGAGATATGCACACGCTTTTCTTGAGAGTCTCAATACCAGAAAAAATGTAAGTGGAGCTGTTGCAATCAGTGCTGTGCCTTAACTGGTGACAAGAAAACTATATGCTCTCACCAAGACTAGGGTGAGTTATGTCCCGCCGAAGCAACTGGGATAAATAAAGAGTATAAAGACGTCAGTCCATTTGTGCGTCAATTCATCCGCCTGGCAAGGTAAATGCGACCGATTACTCGATGTCCTGTAGGATAGCATACCTATCTTGACCATCTCGAATACGCCCATTCCGAGCTTCACGCGTCCGGTGCCGGAAGCCTCCGTGAGAAGACATTCACTGGCAAAGTGGAACGTAAGAACCGTGCTTGAAAGATGGCTAACTGCCTAAAAAGAAGACTTTATAAATCACAAACATGCCGCACATTCTGGTACCCAGGTAGCATGTTGTCGACTAATAGCAGGTTACGACTGAGCTACTGAACCGAAATTGTAGCGAGTATGTAGCTCATTACTCGGCTAATGGCGCGCTAATAGCCGGCTACAAAAAGCTACATTTTGGAACATCTCGTTTCTTGTTTTTCGCCTTGTCTCGTCTCTAATCCCGTGTTAACTTTGTATTTTCACACGGTTTTACTATCTTTTGATGAACTTCGGCACATTTTGCGCACTGATTAGAATGCACTTAATTGATTGCACTACATAACAGGCTTTTCTTCGCAACTTCAAGCACGCTTCAACTGTAATCAGATATATTCATGCAGATATTCCGAGTAAAATAGACGACCATTTGAATAATTAACAAGTTTATGAAAGTCAAAAAGCACTTTATCTTTTTAATTTAGTACTTTCTTGTCGGAAATTTTTGGTGGCAAATCTATTCGTCGAATTTTGGAACTATCTTCGTATGCCTTGTTCAATGGAATCCACTGGAATGTCGTTAAATCTGACATTAGTCCGAATGGCATCTGATCCACCAATGCATATCTTATTATAATAAGATAACTTACCGGCGACACCTTTGATGAACAAACGACCGGAATTTTATGTTTATGCATGTTTCCCGGTGCAATGTTAATGAGTCGTGCAGCACTTTGAAGATGGTATGTTTCATTGTGTGAGCCAAGTCTCCCCACCCAAACCACATGATTTGCTTCAACTAAACAAAACATAGAAATCAAGCTAAACATACATATTTTGAAAACGATGTATCGCACGGGGGAGGCCAGTGCAATAAGAACGTACAAACTTCATTCAACTGTTTTCCGTTTGCAAGTTCGTGGCGTTTGCAATAATCTCCTTGGATCACAGGGGAGCCAAGGAAAATTGTGGTGATTGCTCATGAACTATGAACACTTTTGTTTTATTGAACACGATATCCTTGTATATTTCTAATTTCCGCCTAGTACAATTCCATTCCGCCTCTGAGTTGACTTCTGATTTCGTTTCGAGTCCTAGTTCTGGGTCGGACCACTAGTGCGCGGAATCCGATACGTATACGAAATACTAGTCTGAGTACGAACCACAACAAAAATATTTTCTAAGCGCTTCCAACCTCAATCGACCGCAAGACATGCGCATGTGTTTTCATAAAACAATTATCTAACGAAATGTTTATTGCATTGTGAACTTTGATCCAAGGTACATTATCTCGCCACCAGTGGCACAAAATGTTGGACGAAATAAGCTTTACTCACCACCAATTGTGCACAGTTCTAATACTCCATCAAGCAAACTTCATGAACAACAGCGCGTTGAATGTACATATAAAATTATTTACCGGGGTAGATTCGCACTGACGGAATCCAGTCCCCGGGAAAATGGGCAGTACATTTTTAGAGAAATAAAGAACGAATGTAATACCTGTTTCGTAATTTAATTAACATTTAATCTTGGATACCTTTTCTGTGTTCGTGAAGATTCTCTCCGCCAAATATAGGACCATCAACTTGTTGTATTTGTTGTTCTATTACGTAATAAAATATCCAACGAGAGATGGATGACGCTGTGTGATTGTAAAATACTAAAACAAATTGATCATTTTTATGATCACCCGATTTACTCTCATAAAACTTGAGGCGCACGTTACCATCCGTCACTCCCCCCCCCTTATCATTTGCTTATTCTTGAATCATTCTAAAATCGGCCACTTTCAATATTTTGATCAATGTTTTTCACATTTTTAGTACATAATTCAATGTTTACTTTTATGAAACATGAGAGTACATTTTTGCCTGATTTCTTTTAATTTGTGACCTTGAAACATGTCAGATGGCTCGAACGTGTACCTGGGGCTAACCGGTATTGACGGCCTGCCGGTAAGTCTTCTTACGAGTCTCAAAATGCGCGCGACCTCCTAGTGTCTCGTTGCCCGAGGTAGACAAAAACACTCGTGGGAGTCGTAA